GTTGTACTTGTATTTTGTGATGTGTACCATTTGTCACTAAACCATTGTAACCATGGTAACAATGAACATTTTGGCACTAGGACTTTTTGACGTTCATACTTTCTGCCACACTAACAACCGGTCCGTATGGACATTTTGACACCTGCACATTCCAACCGTTGAGCGTTTTTTCGCATTGACTACCCAGACCCTGAATGAATAGTTCATGTTTTAAGATATTTTTATACTTTAATCGATGAGATTAATTAGAATTATCATTTACTGGTAAAATCAAGCACATTCGTAGAAACAAGTTTGTATGAAACTCACTAAAATTAATTAACCCAAAGTACAATCATGCTATTAAGTCCATCTCAACTCCAACTGTAATAGGGCAATTACTTGAATAATTGCGGTCGCCTGCAGACCGGTGAGCTCGCTGAATTATTATGAACCACCCATTTTGGTCGGTTATTACTGCAGTTAATGCGTATTTTAGAGAGGGCTTTTGTATTCGTACATTTGAATGCAGCTGCAGAACCACGTACGAGGATATTGTAGTGCACAGAGGAATTAATTTGTGGCGAGTTTTGGGTCTAGGAACAAAAATACAGTTCAGATTTTAGACTCTCTGAAAGCAAGAGATCGCTCTGGCAATAATAGGGTGCGGATAAGTCGAGGACAGGGTCATCATTATCAGAATCATCTCAGCAATAGGACGTCCACTGCTGAACATAGGCCTCCCCCAATCCTTTCAATGTTGCCCGATTGGTAGCGGCCTGCGTCCAGCGCCTTCCTGCTACTTTTATGATGTTGTCGGTCTACCTTGTGGGTAGTGTCCTACGAGGACAGGGTAAAATGGACCATATTAAAGGAGGCCTATATCCAGCACTGGACTTCTATAATTTGATTATGATGTTTTAGCTCATTAGCAGCAGCAGCAGGGCTTTTATAGTGACCGTCAAAGTTATGCAACCTACGATGCATTCGTTAATGAATGGGGGATCAGTTCTAGAAACGTCGGTCTATATAATTTAAAAGCGACGACCAACTTCCATCGAAGCTCCATATCGTCACCAATCCCAAAAATCTACCCCAATAGTAATGAATAGTTAGCATTCTTCACCCAGAATCCTCGCAAACAAAACTTATTATCCGGTATGCAGTTAGTGTAATCGCCAGACCACACGAAGGTTGAACCACACACAAAAGTTCATTCATTCTTGCACACAAATTGTGCGGCTTAAACTTTGCGTATAATTACAGCGGGGAGCGCGGTTAGAACTGTTAAGATCCGTAATGAAATGTTTGATGTGGATAACGTTCAAAATTAAATCAACAAATAGATGTTTTAGTAGAAAGTTAGAAAGACTGCTCCAGTAACTAGATTTTTAGAAGTAAAATTGCATAGTAATTTGTAAGTAAATTGCTCTGCTGTATTTCTAGAAGACTATAATCCAAGTTTTTTCAAGGCGAGAGTGAATAGGTATGTACCATCCTAGACTGCATCCCACTTAACACCAGATGCGATTGTGGTCAAATCGTCGCTACATTCTTGGTAGAGTGGTCGTGGTCGTCACACCTGGTTTGGTGGCAAGCTTCACAATCCGTCGGCATTCCTCCAGTATTGCAGCCTTTCTTGTAAATTCGTGGAGTGGACCATTGAGTGTGGTTTTGACCAGATCGGTCCAACGCATGGGCGACCTGTCTCGCGCTTTTTGCCTTCAACCTTCCCCTGCACGACAAGTCGTTCAACATAGGGGTTTACGTATATGTGTGTGTACGCAATATTATTATGTAAATCTCTGTACACACTGTTTTTAAACAATGATTGATAAATCTGTAGGAGAGCACCAGTGTTCTAAAGAAACACTACATGTAATTTTGGCATCGTATAAACAATGAGCAGAAAGCGCCATCGATTAACAAGTTGAGCAAGAAATAACTAACTTGTTAAACGGAGTTACGAAGAACTACAGATCTAGTTACGGTTGTTATTCACCGCCCACCACTTTGAGATGAAGTCCGCTATTCAGTAACTTTGTGGGTCTGTCGAAACACACTGGCAGATTATTTGATTTATTTATTATTGTACTATTGATGGGAAAATGCATTAACTTCTTCTTGATATATGAAAAATATTGAATGACGTTCCATATGATTTATCTGATGCAATTGTCCGTTGTTCAGGAGTGACTTTAGTTTTTTTATAAACTCAAAATAGTTACATATAAGTTGTAGTATTTATTTGCGAATGATTGTTCTGACTGAGGCATGAATAACTCTCCTAAAAATATAAATAACGCTCAAAATGTTAAAAGTTACAAACATCGCTTCAATTTCACCCAAAAAGTTACCTCCATTCCACAACCAGATTAAAACATGCTTACGTTAAACCTCTACGAACCAAAAAGGCGGCGTGTAATTCACCCGAATTACAATAAAATCCAATATTCAACATCCAACTTCACAAATTCCATCCAGTGTGACGCAAATTTTCACCCGATTTGGACAGAGACGCCTCTTGTCGCGGGGGATTATTAAAACTTTTCATCGCTCATAATAAAGTTTCATATCGAAAGCCGAGTTGGATTTTTCGCTGCGTCGGATCCGTCTTTAATTGCGTCTAGTGATGCAATTTTGTAACGACCTAGTTTTGGAATAAAAACGCTGACGGAGCGCTTATGTACTGACCAGGTTATTCCAGTTGGGAAAAAGTTGTTGAGGGAAATATTCAGATGTGATAAAATATTACGTTACTGTGTCGTTTTGAGCAGTAGTTTTGGTTAGCAATTCGAAACTGACATCACTACACATCGTCAATTGATTAACATTTTATTTACCACGAACAGTGGAAATATACAGGGTGTCCCAAAAACAATGGATAACCCTGTAACCATCGATAGGCCTCGCCATGGTCTCCCTAATGTCCAATTTTGACCCCAGTAAAAATATCACCGTTTTCAAGATTTTTAAGTTTTTGTGCATTTTTAGAAAATTGCCACCTGCGATTACTTTTTCTCATGCCATTTCTACAAATGAGGATACTTTTCAATCTAGTTTTTTTCCTTATCTCAAGGGATAGTTGGGCTATCAAAAGAAAAGATTAAAGTTCAACAATCTAGTTTAAAAAAATGAAAATTTTAAGAAATTGCAGAGAAGAAGGAAAAATTAATTCATTGTCTTGCACTTTTCATCAGCCATCGTGTAAAAATAATGTAGGAAGACCATCGTGCCCATTACCTTAAAAACTTCCTTGGTTAATTGAGATTCTAAAAAGGTATCACAAGCCTATGTATTCTGTATTATTTTTATCTTATGGCTACTTGAATAGCAACTAGTATGAAAACTGCAAAAATGAGTTTTTCTCGTAATAGTTAAACTAGGACTGCATAGTGGCATTAAATACAAATGGATACTTTTTAGCGTAGGAATTTAAATAAAGCAACATTTTATCATCATCATCATCATCATTTCAGCCGTAGGACGTCCACTGCTGAACATAGGCCTGTACCCTAATGATTTTCATAATGACCGCTTGGTAGCGGCCTGTATACAGCACCTTCCTGCTTATCTTTATGAGGTCGTCGGTCCACTTTGTAGGTGGACGTCCTACGATGCGCTTTCCGGTACGTAGCCTCCACTTGAACCCTGTTGCCCCATTGGCCGTCCGTTCTGCGTTTTTGTGATTACTTATTTTTTGTTTTACACCTTATAAATGTGCCTATAGACAGATGCCCGTGATGATACACGGCTCGGAAACGTGGATTTTTTGCACAGCGTGCTATGGAAGGGGCTATGCTCGGGTTTCTTTACGAAACCGTATCAGAAATTAGGAGACCTGTAAACGAACTAAAGTCGCTGACATAGCCCGACGGATCAGCAAGCTGAAGTGGCAAAGGGCAAGGCACAGTAGTTCGCAGAACTGAGGCAGCAGGGTTCAAGTGGAGGCTACGTACCGGAGAGCGCATCGTAGGACGTCCACCTACAAAGTGGACCGACGACCTCATAAAGATAAGCAGGAAGGTGCTGTATACAGGCCGCTACCAAGCGGTCATTATGAAAATCATTAGGGTACAGGCCTATGTTCAGCAGTGGACGTCCTACGGCTGAAATGATGATGATGATGATGATAAAATGTTGCTTTATTTAAATTCCTACGCTAAAAAGTATCCATTTGTATTTAATGCCACTATGCAGTCCTAGTTTAACTATTACGAGAAAAACTCATTTTTGCAGTTTTCATACTAGTTGCTATTCAAGTAGCCATAAGATAAAAATAATACAGGATACATAGGCTTGTGATACCTTTTTAGAATCTCAATTAACCAAGGAAGTTTTTAAGGTAATGGGCACGATGGTCTTCCTACATTTTTTTTACACGATGGCTGATGAAAAGTGCAAGACAATGAATTAATTTTTCCTTCTCTTCTGCAATTTCTTAAAATTTTCATACTTTGAAACTAGTTTGTTGAACTTTGATATTTTCTTTTGATAGCCCAACTATCCCTTGTGATATGAAAAAAAACTAGATTGAAAAGTATCCTCATTTGTAGAAATGGCATGAGAAAAAGTAATCGCAGGTGGCAATTTTCTAAAAATGCACAAAAACTTAAAAATCTTGAAATCGGTGATATTTTTACTGGGGTCAAAAATGGACGTTAGGGAGATCATGGCGAGGCCTATCGATGGTTACAGGGTTATCCATTGTTTTTGGGACACCCTGTATACCTACGCCAAGTAAATAAAATACCAGTAAACAAGAAGTAATATGAACGTAAATAAGCGATATTATAACATGGATCCTTTGTAATAATGTACAATGCAGTGCAGTGTGTGTTTTCTATTGAACATGAACATACAAATAGCAAAATTTATTATACCTCTAAACGGGAAATACAATAATTTATAGTACATTAAATAAATACAGTGGCTTTAATAACAAAGAAGAAAGTAATTAACGGTTTAATTAATTCTTGGTAAATAGAGGTTTTTGCATATAATATGAACGAGCCAACATTGTTAGTTATTCTGAAGAACTGGCTGCATAGGTACCTAGTAACAGAACAATACGAGTGTAATGTTTTTCTTATTATCGTTGTTTTTCTACACTGTTGGTGCTGTCATTGTATCTCCACCGAAAACACCTACGCAAATATGTCCAGGCTCTAAAGGTAATTAATTATAACAATTTATACTTAAGCATCTTTTATTGGTACAATAAGCTCTTTTCTAAAGAGGTAATGAATGTAGGTTTTATACAAATCATATTATTCTTCAACCCACATTGTAAACATTGCAACAATGGTAATTTTTTTATATCGTTAGCTAACGACACATTATTGTTATTGTCTTATGGGAAATTAGGCAACATTTAAGTCCCCCGCAGACTAAAGACTCTATATCGATAGTTTGGTCGACTTGTTTTGGGTGAGTAACGTACGTAGTACATTATAACTCAATGTGAGTAACATACTACTTGTTCATACTTATTAATAGCCCGAATAAACTATCGGCCGACAAAAAGTATGTAATCTGTAGGGACTGCAATTTGTGTTATCATTATTCTTATTATTGTACAAATCAGTCTTCTTCTTAGTCGGACACTCTTGTCAGAGTGGTCGTGGTTGCGTTGACGAGGTACGAGGAGGTGATGTCATCTCCGAGGGTAGCTCTCCTGGAGATGTGACAAATAAAATTTATTAAAACTGTGTGTTACAGAGCTTATCCATCCTCCCTACTGTGGACCACACGCCCACTATGAGAAATGCCCAGATAGATGTCCCAAATTCTGTTCATCTCTTCTGCGCCAAAATGAAACTTGCTTACCAACACTGTGTTGTGCTCCATCCTGCCAATGCGATAGTGGATACCTGAGAAATGACAATACGTGGGCTTGCGTAAAGAAAGAGGACTGCCGTATGTATGCAGCTTTACAATAAAAGATCTAAGAAATATTCAACTACTTCTGAATTTCTAGGTCGTGAAACCCCAAGCCTCCGATTGACGATCGACGAGTAGGTCTAGGATGCGCGCCGCGATAAGCTTTTATCGCGCCGCTTTATCGATTTTACGTGATAAGCCCATACGTTTGTCGTCTAAATTCATCGATAAGATTTTATTATGGCGCGCATCCTAGCCTGGCTGGTGAAGTTTGCAACTAAATGCGGAGAGCGCAGCAACAGTCGTTGTCGACATATTTGGGGGAGGCCTTTGTCCAGTAGTATATAAAAATGTATTTTGTTTGAAACAACGAGGCACAATCTTTCTAAACATAATCATCTTCATCTTACAGCCCAATATAACAACATCAAATGTAAAGTAAACGAGCATCCAGTGGTCAACATGACAATCTGCCCGAAGACTTGCGGGAACCGGTTGCTTACGTACCCTATAGACCCTTGTGATCCTTTCACTGGGTGCGCCTGCAATGAGGGATACGTCAGACCGTTTGACAACGCAACTGGTACTTGTATACCTGTAGGAAAATGCCGTAAGTCTCTTTTTTATATCTTTTCCTTCTTCTTCTGTGCCTTGTTCTATTTAATTTGGGATCGACCCCCCCTCATTCTAAGGCCCCATAACATTCTGTATTGCCTCTTCTTATCACTCTGTTTTCTTATAATTTGTTTAGCCTATATTTGCTTAGTCTCATCAGTATCAGTTTGCTTACGTATCATGAATATCCTTATGGTGCATCTGCAATCAGGGATATGTCACTTCCATGTTCATTCCATCAAGTATTGTAATATTCTCTTCTAGTAGGTATTTCATTAGAAACTTCTTCTAGCTCCAATTCCAAAGAAGTGTGGCTTCAACGAATTGCCAACGAGCTGCGCGTTCGTGTGTCCGCCACAAGTTTGCGAAATAGCATACACCGAGTATCTATGTCTGCCACATGAATGCCAACCAGGATGCAACTGCCGGCAAGACTATCTGAGAGACTGCAACAACATTTGCATTATCAACACTGACTGCCCTTTGCCTGGTGAGTCTCCGAACGCTAATAGGTACATCCTAAAAAAAATTTGTCATTCCTCTGAGATACAAATGCTTGATTTTATAATTTTATGAATCTCTCAATTTCACTTTCATGCAGAATTGAATTTTCATTAATACGAGTAGGTATAAGATGTTTTTTATAACATAGGTACAATACAGAAACGATGCTTGCTTAAGTGAAGCAGCAAATCGAACGCACAGCGTTGAATAGAGCTCTGTGATTGGTTCATGTGTCACACTGTGCGTCCACGCGCACTGTGAGACCTGATACTAATGTTTGTGAATACGGGCGATAGGATATTTTTGTGTTAACTGAATAATTTCAGTTCCAACTTCTGTAGACAATTCATAAACCGTACTTACTTACATGTGAAGAAAATAATAAATAAAAACCTTTATTACCAAAATTGCAATATCTTACAGCTTACTAGTATTCCCCAAATTAGCTAATTCTGTGTCTTGGGGACTGAAGTAGACCTCGTAACTTATTTATTTATTATTTTGCTACGCAAGTGGATACTAAGAAATTTTGGGGAATTCCCTTAACGTTAAACTTTGCAAGGAAACTTAAGACAGGAATTTAAAATGTCATTGGACCCAAAACAAATTAAACTGAAGAAATCAGGAGGTTTACAAAAGTAAGGATCGACTTTATGATGACAAACAATACGATTAGGTTAGTTAATATAAGGAAAAGTTGTAAATAAAACAAAACAGTTCATACAGCACCATCTATACAGTGTGAGTCACGTTAAAAGGTACAGTCACGGAATGAAAAGGTTCGTCAGTTTTCAAATTGATTCCTTCAACGAATCGCGAGCACATATTACCTTTTGAAACTATGTTACAAAATAATCTCGAGTTAGAGAAAATAATCTTTAACTATTCGGCAGTAAAGTTCAAAATTATTCAGATCAAAGTTGTTTGACGATTTATCTTGTCAAGAAGATTATTATGATTGATAAACTAAAACCTTCTTGTTGGTTCAACCTGCCATTATTATTTCTATAAAAAAAAATCTATTGTCAATTGGTCAATGTCATCATTGCATTGCACTGATGGGATAGAAAAATAAACAAGCAAAACCTTATTCGTAAGCAAACGTCATATTTATTTAAATGTTAGCAGCACTGTTTCTTGCACTGTTATGTTGGCAGGTTTGACTCTTACAGTACCTAGTGCAAGCGAAAACCGACACTAAGGTGACGAACCTTTTCATTCCGCGACTGTACATATGAAAATAGATGAAACTAGACCTATTTTTGTCGACAAAAAAGAGGTCAATTTTTTTTTTTTCAGATTTTTAAAAAAAATTATAGAATTTTTTTTCTTCCAATTACTCATTGTAAAGAAAACGTAATAACTTTTAAACTAAGCGGTATATCCTGATAAAATAAAAACAGTAATAATGCTAAATAACAGGCGATACTAAAATAATACATAAAATACAAAAAAGGCCAACAAATAATAAAAAATGATACTTTTTGAAAAAAAGTCTCTATCCCTATCACAACATTTGCTATGATCGTTTGAACTAAGCCTCTCCGGGCGCGCGAGACATGCGATTTTTGGTTTTACAAAGATAATACGATAGAGAATAATACGAAGTAATAAAAACCACCTGTTATAGGGGCATTTTTGGAGAAATTTATCAAATAACCAAAAAAACATGAATTTAAAAGCAGATTTTTTTCAAAAAGTATCATTTTTTATTATTTGTTGGCCTTTTTTGTATTTTATGTATTATTTTAATATCGCCTGTTATTTAGCATTATTACTGTTTTTATTTTATCAGGATATACCGCTTAGTTCAAAAGTTATTACGTTTTCTTTACAATAATTAATTGGAAGAAAAAAAATCTCAAAATCTCAAAAAAAAATTGACCTCTTTTTTGTCAGTAAAAATAGGTTTAGTTTCATCTATTTTCATATGTACACTTTAACGTGACTCACACTGTGTAACATTCAACTACTCAATAATTTATTTAGGATCTGATTTGGATGCTTAGTTCCCTTAGTCAGTGCCTGAGGTATGGAAGGTTACGGAACTATTCCCACCTCTCGTTCCCACCACTGCGACTCCTGTGTAGCCAGGATCTACAGCTTGACCGCCATAAAAACCCAACCAATGAAGGTTAAGTTAGTCCCGGGGGAAAGTTAAACTGTTATTGGACCCGCAACGAAATTAATCAGAAGAACATAGGAGGAGTTCGAAGGTATGGAAGGTTACGTAAACGTCAGCGAGACCTCAGATTCTCATAAAATTTATATGATCTATCTTGTCATTGTCATAATATGTCAAAATCACCCCCCTCCAATATCTCAGGTACTGAATGAGCTAAGCGTTAGAATAAAGTAAAAATAAATTTTCCATAGGTAAATGTTTACGTTAATGATTACTCACCACTGTAACAATAAGTAAACAAGTCATGATCATCGTGAATTGAGGGTAATCAGAGTTTACGACTATTTTACTGCTCTTCCTTCCGATCCAAATGCAGGAGCAGTCCATGAATCCTCTATAGGTATTCATGTTTATTTCAACACATTAAATTTGTTTTTATTGCTTAACCATCAACCGTGTATAAAACTACATAACAATAAAAATCCACATAATGATAAATCAAAATATTTAATTCACACATAAAAAACAAGGTTGATTTGTCAACGAAAAGATATATCGATGTGTAAAAAAAAAATTGATTTGCATCGCTAAGACATTTACGCCGGTTTTTGCATACAAATGGGATTTTACGTAGTAGATACGTTGCATGGTGTTCTTTAATCAATCTTTGTGTGATTCGCTTTGTACTATTCTGTTTTAACTGTAGTTCTTTTAATTGGTTTAATTTGAATATTTTGACGACTCTACAATATGATTAAGCCCAAGTGGTTGGTCTAACTAAATAATATAATTTAACCTAATGAAAAGGACATGCACAATGCAAACAAAAAACAAATGACAAAGAATATTTATTTACTTGCACTAATGCCCTTATCAACATTTTGAAACACGTTTACAATAAAAACAATAATAAAACTAAAAAATATAATAAAATTAAAAAATATATCACGTGCATTTCTTAGTCAAAGACATACATTTGAACACCTGGCCGTTTGTCAAAGGCAGAGTAAATAATTATAGCGATATTGTTTTGAAAAACAAACTGTGTTGTCTCGTCCTTATAAAATAGGTTTTTGTATGCACAGTGGTTATTCTGCAAGTTGTTATCATGTTCTTTGCTACTTTCTTTGTATTATTCGCTGTGGCTTACGGTAACTTATCATCATTTTGTATTTTTTTCAAAACTTTAGAACTGTTTAAAAAAAAATACATAATTTATTTTAAGGGTTTCCTTGGAATTAAACATCAAAAAGTAAATTACCTTCTCATCGAAAAAAGGAACTCAATATATCAAATAGAAAATAATCAGTAAATCTTTTCCAGGTGAAAAATGTGTCCCCATCTGTAGGCCTACTTGTGCCGTCCCCAACCCTCAAGGCTGCCGACCTCCAAGTCCAAAGGACCCTAATGCATGTCCAGACGGGTTTGTTTTAACCGAAGAAGGAGGAAATTGTACATATATTGAGTCGTGTCCAGGTAAATATTGATACAGTTCAAAAAATATTAAAAAAATGTTTCATCATCAGATCATAGTTCCCCCAGGAGCAAAACCCTCTACTTCTCCAAATGTTGTCGTGCTAGCGATATCAGCAATAACTCTATTTTTGGAAAAACTATAGTGAGCTCTATTTCAATGAGCTGACGGGAGTTTTCTTAAAAGCAAAATATTAAAGTTACTGCTAATATCACTAGCACGGCACATGGTAGCCTACACTTCTTACACTACCCAATCGAGTTAGGGAGCCTGTACCATAACCTTTTTACGACACCCACGAAAAATTTGGAGCGGTAAGTAGTGAAATATTCTGATTGACATATTAAACTCTTGTTTCCAGAAAATCAAGGTTGCAATGGCGACCCCAATGCGATCATAAGACGGTGTCCATCGCCCTGCCCATCCACTTGTGATGCGCCTAATTCAAACCTGGCGAATTGTAAGAAAGAATGCCAATTGGGTTGTGAATGCAAGGATGGATACATTCGGCGAGAAGAGAACGGACCGTGCATCTTACCCGATGACTGTCCATGTAAGTTTTTTGACCATGTGACAAAGAAAAGTTTTACAATAACTTTGAGCAGTATTCAAAGTACTTACATTAACGATGCATGTAAATCTAGTAAGCATTGTTCATCCATACCATACATCATCCTTTAATACGTAATCTGCAATACCGTAACTATGAAACGTAACGTAACATTTTCGGTCTATGAATATTTTCCAGATATTTTCCTGCCAGGCAAGTTCTTAGAGGTTTTTGTACCATGTCTCTATTACGGGACTATTCCCACCTCTCGTTCCCACCACTGCAACTCCTGTGTAGCCAGGATCTACAGCTTGACCGCCACAAAAAAAAACCCAACCAATGAAGGTCAAGTTTGTCCCGGGGGAAAGTTAAACTGTCATTGGACCCGCAACGAAATTAATCAGAATGTCCATTCCATAACTTTTTTCACTAGGATGGTGCGATAAGAAAGATTTAAATTGAAGTTGAAACGAAAACAAGTAGACAAACAACGTTTCTTTAATATTAATCTTTGTTTCAAGGTGGAAACCCTTGTAACCGGCCTAATGAGGAATACTCATCGTGTACAGTATCGTGCACGGATACGTACTGCCCGACGGATGACGAACAAAGAATCAAAATTTGCGATTTCCCATCGCCATGCGACTCTGGCTGCGTCTGCAAACTCAACTATAGAAGGTTAAGCACCTGTAATGACACTTGCATCCTAGCAGAGGATTGTCGTAAGTATCTCATCATCATCATCATCATCATTTCAGCCACAGGACGTCCACTGCTGAACATAGGCCTCCCCCAATGCTTTCCATGTTGATCGATTGGTAGCGGCAGTATCCCAACTATATATCCCAACTAATATTATAAATGCGAAAGTAACTCTGTCTGTCTGTCTGTCTGTTACGCTTTCCCGCTTAAACCTCGCAACCGATTTTGATGAAATTTGGCATAGAGATAGTTTGAGTCCCGGGAAAGAACATAGGATAGTTTTTATCCCGGTTTTTGAAACAGGGACGCGCGCGATAAAGTTTTTCTGTGACAGACAAAATTCCACGCGGGCGAAGCCGCGGGCGGAAAGCTAGTCTACAATAAAAATATCAAGAACTCCAGTAATGCTACTTGATAGACTAATTTTGAATAAACTATGAGATCAAGTCCCATGAAATTTGATGACAATTACAAGTCAATATATCAAGATAGATTTAGATTATACAAGTAGTCCAACAGTAATAATATCAAACATTTTGCAGGTAGATATTGAAATTTTCAGGTAACTACTACTTTTAGAAACTACCCATTATTACGCCCTAATGAAATTAATGATACTAAAAATTATACCCTCCTTTATTTGAAGTCATTCGGGTCTTAAACTAACGTCCATATTATTATTTCAGCTCCAGTTGAGTGCACCAGGCCGAATGAAGTGTTCTTCGGGTGCCGTCCATTTTGTCCAAGAGAACATTGCTCTTTTGTCGGACAACCTTGTTCACCACCTTTCGTTAGAACTTGCGATCCTCGGTGCACTTGCAAAGATGGCTACTACAAAAACGATAAGGATGTGTGCGTGCCGGAGTGCGAATGTTGTAAGTGAAAAAAAAAAATGAAAAATATTTTATTGACACTTAGTACGAATGTTACAAGTAGTTGAGGAATTCCTCTCTTTAAGTTTAAGTAACCTGTATTGAGAGGAATCCACTCATTCGTTACATCCATAGATGTTCTAAACTAACATTATGAAAATATTACCCACTTAATAACAAACACACAACACAAAATAAAAAAAGGTTTACATTACCGAGGTTCGGGATAACACAAACGAAAATATCTAAACACATTACGAAACACCGCCACGCACTCCATCACATCCAATAATAAAATTTAAAAGCGATAAAATGGGTAGCAATGCCTAGTATGGACTAAAACACGTTTGACATTTTATACATTACACTATTACACTGCACGAAACATTTCTATTTTACAACACCACACCACATAGGGTACGGTAGGGCTAAATGGGTTAAAGACAAAAGACATTCGGTATCACAAGCGCACCAAGCGAAACACTTCAAGAGTACCCTCATTAAGCAATAATATTTATTCAATAATAAGTAAGTGAAGAATGAAATTCTTTTTCTTCTTTTGTTTAATGGCAATCAAAACAAAGAGGTTTATTTTGTGCCAGTGTCAAGTGGAAGAATATTGAAATTCTTTTAGGCTGAGTTGCACCACCATAATTTAACCGTAACAATAACCGGTGCTTTTTGTATAGAGTTTTACAGAGTTTTGACGTGTGTCAATGTTAATGTAAGATGGTGCAGCTCAGCCTTAGTCTGTAAATGTCGGGGTCAATTTAAAGTTTAATCTTTTACTTTTAATTAAAAAAACAAAGGCCGTGTTTTTGATGTTGTTCACATTCTTTTGCAGAAACCTTCCTGAAAGGCGTTGGTGAAATTTTGTAACATTTGATAAGAAATCATTCAATAAAGACTACCTATTTGGAATAATATTATGTACTAATTTATTTATTGAACGTACCACAACCTTATTTCACACACACGTGATCAGGCTTAAATAAAATAAATAAAAACCTTTTATTTCCACAGAAACAGTTTGGTTACAATAAATGAATTAATTAAAAATATTTTTTTTAATTTCTTGTGGCACCCTATGTGGGAAAAAGCCTCCTCCATTTTGCTCCACTTTTGCCTGTGCTGGGCTAGATCAAACTAATGAGGGTTTTCGCGATTGAAAAATCCGCCAGATGGCATTACGTAGACGCGAGGTCCAAATGCTGCATGATTGGTTATTTTTGACATGACATTGACAGATATGTCAAAATCCACCCATCACGCAGCATTTGGACCTCGCGTCTACGTATTGCCATCTGGCGGATTTTTCAATCGCGAAAACCCTCATTGTTGCCTGCTGTTCTCATTATGTCATCAGCCCACCTTTCCTTGGGCATCTTGGGCATTCTTGGGCATCAACATTTCTCTTCCCCTTTGGTCCTTTCCACTCTGTTGATGCTAGAGTCCATCTTAAAATAAAATATTAACTACTAGCTTTCCGCCCGCGGCTTCGCCCGCGTGAAATTTTGTCTGTCACAGAAAAACTTTCAAAAACTGGGATATAAATTATCCTATGTCCTTTCCCGGGACTCAAACTATCTCTATGCCAAAATTCATCAAAATCGGTTCAGTGGTTTAGGCGTGAAAGCAAGACAGACACAGACAGACTTATTTTCGCATTTATAATATTAGTATAGATGATCCTTTGAGTAAAGATTAAGTGGTGAAATATTTATTTGAAATTAAAATCTTTAAAATTATTCATTTGGGTGCATGAATTAGGTAGAATAAAAATATATTAAAAACAGAGTCATTTGAAGTTTGATAAAATAAAATATGATAGGTATCTACTATTAAGGTATTACCTTGCCTAACTGTTATCGAGATAAATGTGAACCACCTTCGTTAACATCATAGTGATTAATATATTTTCTCAGTAAAATATCATACTAAGACAATACTTATTTTTTCTTTTATTCTTAAAAGGACTACATTCTTAAAGGATGTATAATATTATGTATAATTTTGCCTGCGGCTTCACCAGCGTGAAATTAAGTTTGTCACATATCGCTATAAATTATAGCCTATATGTTATTCTGGGTTATAAACAATAATACTGTAAAGTTTCATCAAAATCCGTTCAGTAGTTTTTGCGTGAAAGAGTAACAAACATCCAGACATCCAAACTTTCGCATTTATAAAATTAGTAGGATTAATTGCTAAGCGTGGGACTTCCACCCACAAGGTGGACCGAAGACATCATAAAGGTAGCAGGAAGGCGCTGGACGCAGGCCGCTACCAACCGGGCAGCATGGAAAGCATTGAGAGAGGCCTATGTTCAGCAGTGGACGTCCTATGGCTGAGATGATGATGATGAAATTGCTAAACAAATGTGAACAATAAAAACTCTTCATGACAGTTAACGCCAGCAGACATGCGCAAGTCGTATGTTTGTATGGAAAAAAATGCCCTTGTCTAATGCCAAATCGTACCTACTTACATTAAATCAAAAAGGTAAAAATAAAAATATAACACAATAGTAGGTAGGTGGTACTTACTATCTTCTGAATTTCTACAGAGAAATCTTATATGAACAACATTTGCATCAAGTCAAGATCCTCTATTAGATTGAATCGTTCATGAGTCAGAATAATAACCAAATGAGTGACGCACTAGGTACTACTTATTTTTCATTTACATTTCAAAAGGCAATGAAAGGACACTATAAATTTATTGCTAAACAAACGTGAACAATAAAAGCTCTTCGTGTCAGTTAACAACAGTAAGGCTAAGAATTCACGGCGCGATTCTCACCCGCGCCCGCGGCGGTTGCGGGCCCGCAGCTTCTGTAGAATGCAGATAAAAAAATAATTCAAAACTCACGACGCGGTATGCGCCCGTAGCGTGCGCGGTTGTATGCAGGTCCCGCTGCACCGGCACGGGCCGCGGTAACCACAGCCTCGGCGGTTTTCGCCCGCGCGCTCTGCGATCGATCGGCGGGCGACCATTTTGTACCAGTGACTTTGATGGCGCATTTTTAACCACACACGCGGCGGCTGCAGGCTCGCAACAGCCGCAGGCGCGGCGCGGCGCGTGAAAATCGCACCGTGCGTTCTTAGCCTAACCGCGTAAATAACCGCTCCCGTGAGTTTTGAAATAAAACCGCAATTCCACAACCGCCGCGGGCGCGGGTGAAAATCGCTCCGTGAGTTCTTAGCCTTAGCCTTACAGTTGTTTGCAAAGCTGTTTTTCAACCTTAAATTGTTTTGAAAAAACATTGGTTCATCAGACAACTATTTGTCGACAGCCAAGACGGAGGTGTGAAGTAGGTTTCAAAAGTTTTGGTACCATGTTATTATTAATATTTTCTCTGTTAATAGCAGGGACGATAGCCGATTCACCGAAAGCAGGTATTTTTAATAATGGTTTTTTTTTCATTCTACTATACGACTTATTATTCTCTTTAAATTGATTTTTCCACGATTTTCATTTGACGCTCGTAGACTTTTGTGGACTGGAAAAATACTTTTTGATCTTTTTTAATTAGCAAAGAACGAGTATTTAACCCAAAAACGATTCTTAAAATATCCATTTTAATATAAAAGTAAATAACATTTTTGTGTTTAATTGTATTTTCAAAACCATCTTTATTGAATATAATTTTATATTGTTATTAATTTCCCCAACTGCCTGGGTAAATACGCTCCAACTGGCGAATTTTGTTCTTTGTTTTTGAGACGTCATCGCGTTCAGTGCCTATTTTCCTCATAGTAACTTACTTGTTTCAACTAACAACAGTTCATATGATAATTTATCTGTTTACAGCATCATGTCCCCTGAAATGCAAATCAACATGCCTAAATCCTAACCCCAAGAGCTGCAGTCGCTCCTACCCTAACTGCAACTGTAAAAGAGGAACGATCTGGTCATCGGATGGGAGCAAGTGCATTCCTATAAGCGAATGTCCATGTAAGTAACTTACTTTGCACACACACACAACGACGATGATGGGATCGCAAACAACTTGCCAAAGATTTTGCATAGTTTATATAAAAAAAAAACTAGACTTTTTTAATTCACCTGAGGGAATGAATAATCTATCATTTAAAAATTTCTGTTTATAAGCCACTCATTTGATTCAAGTTAATGATACTTTGTTACTCGTAAAAACTGTATAAAATGCCTACTTCTAGCCTTTATCATTGCTCTTTAATAAGACTCTTAAAAAAAGATTAATATTTTATCGTTATCATCCATCGAACGTCTGAGGCTTTACAACCATTAAAAAAACTTACTATAATACACCTTCAGATGGCCCCAGCTGCAATGGTGATCGCAACGCCCACGTTATGGAAAAACCGCCGGCTTGCCCATCGACATGTGACATCCCAAATGGTGCGCCTCTTTGTAAGAAATTGGGATTGGCTGTCGGCTGTGTCTGCAACAACGGATACATCTTGAATAGTAAAGGAAACTGCATCGACCCCGACAAGTGCCCATGTAATGATCTTTTAATGTTTCTATAGACCTGAATTTTCTATCAGCATTATCGAATTATAAGCCAAATCTTCTTTTTGGTTTCTGGTGAATTAGGTAGTTTTCTTCCTGCTGCGAAGACTAAGTAATCTGATGATGATAAAATTGGAGAAGGTCGTCCTCCTGCAATGGATACTAAATGACCTGAAGATAATAATGATGATGATGATACCAACAACGTAACAAACAAACAAATGTTCCACAAAATTCAATTTTATGCTATTCAACTGGCCTGTCTATCGTAGATGTACGCTCGTTACCCATATTCAATCCTTGTCAAATTTAAATCTGTTTTCGATCCAATTTTCGATCCAATATCCAAATTTTTGACACTTTAGTAGTTTAAAGTCTTTTATCAATGTGTAAAAACATCGAAAACCGTAGATATTTTATAACATATTTAAATAATTGACAGCAACGGACGGATTTGAATCAGGATTAAATATAAAAAAAATATTACTCACGTTCTAGGTGGTAATCCATGCGGTGTCAACGGGACGTTTGTGTCATGCAATGCCGACTGCCCTAACGATATTTGCCCCGTGAATGACAGTCGGGGCGTCATTGCTTGCGATCCTCCTTATCCTTGCCCTTCTGGATGCGCCTGCAAACACAACTATCAGTATAGGAGCGAAAAGGATCGAACGTGCATTTTGGGACAGGAATGTCGTAAGTACATTAATTTGTTTCTGCAACGAAACAACAAAGATTAAGGCTAAGTGAAGTTAGGTGGTGCAACCTAACTTTAGCCGTAACTATGACGAGAACCGGTGGTTTTTATATGGAATTTGACAGATTTTTGACGTTTTTCAAAGTTAAAGTAAGATGGTGCAACCCAGCCTTAGTGTAATAACATGACATTAAATTTTGCTACTGGAATTTAACAAAATTCTTCGCCTACACTCTTCAAAATTATCAATTTCCTCCTTTTTTTGCATAACAAGACAGGTATTTGACTTTTTGTACTCGTTGATGGTTACAAAAAGTAACAATTACTTATTATTTGTTCGTTGTTACTATCTTTCACTCGTAGCATGTCTAATTAAGCAAATGTTACTGCACTAGCAATCACCAAACATGAATAATAATTATAACTTGTACAGTACATACTCCCAGTTTTTTGATTCATAGTTAAAATAACAAATTGTTAAATTTTGTTACTAATGGTTAAATATTAACAGAATGTTAACTAATAGTTAAAAAATGTACTAAAAGTCAAGCTAACCATTGTTCGAAAAACATTTTTTTCTGATATTTAACCACTTGTCATTTGACATCTGTCAAATTTGACTATTGGTTATTTTAACTACGAATCAAAAAACCGGGCCTAAGTCTAATGAATCCAACTAAATTATTTTTTATTGGCGGCGGCCCGCGACTTCGTACGCGTGGATCCCGTTTTCAACCGACTTCAAAAAAAGGAGGAGGTTCTCAATTCGACCCGTATGTTTTTTTTCTATGTTTGTTACGCGATAACTCCGCCAATTATGAACCGATTTGAACAAATCTTTTTTAGGCGTATAGGTAATACCTCAAGGGTGGTCCCGTTTAAATTTAATAATAAAAAAAACAACCCCCAAGGGTGGAAAATTGGGGATGAATTTTTTTATACGCAATATCTCCGCCGATTATAAACCAATTTGAACGATTGTTTTTTTGTTGAATAGGTATTATTAAAAGGGTGGTTTCATGCGAATTTGAAGAAAATATTTCACCCCCAAGGGTGGAAAATTGGGGATGAACTTTTTTATACGCAATATCTCCGCCGATTATGAACCAATTTGAACGATTATTTTTTTCTTGAATAGGTATTATTTGTGTTCACGCATTTTAAGTCGGTTTTATTTTTAAAAAAAAGTTATACCCCCTTCATCTATCTTACGCGGTTTAGATTTTTTCATACAAATGTTTTTTCCCGCTATCTCCCGTTCCCGTGGGAATTCTACAATACCCTGTTGTAACTAAGCTTTAAGTTTACTAAGGTACCTGCATGCCAAATTTCAAGAAAGCGTCTAACTTAAGCGGTTTAGATTTTTCATACAAAAGGATTTTCCCGCTAATTCCCGTTCGCGTGGGATTTTCGGGAATTCCTTTCTTAGTGCACCTCTAAGGTACCTAAGCTACGTCCCTTCCAAATTTCAAGTGCCTACGTTTAGCCCTTTAGGCTGTGCGTTGATATGTCAGTCAGTCAGTCGGTCAGTTTCTCCTTTTATATATTTAGATACATTTCCGTCATACGTGATTTCTATCTAACTTTAACCATTAATGCTGCACACGCAACGGAAGCTTAAAAAAAGGAGTAACTTCTCCCGTTTTTCCCAGCTCCTGTAAACTGCACCAGACCCAACGAGGAGTGGAATATCTGCCCTTCACTTTGTTTCGACGAAAGCTGCAGCGCCTTCAACAGTCCACCTCCCGTTTGCGACACATTCCCTCTTCCAGAGTGCTTTCCAAAATGCACCTGCAAGCCTGGCTTTGCCAGGGATGAAAACGACGTTTGCATTCCTGGGGAAGAATGTCGTAAGTATGAATTTGGTAGAATAAAAATAAAAGAGAAAGTAATTTAGCCTAACTGATAACTTTTCATCAAACCCAAATAACCCAAACGGGTAAACCATCATAGTTAACAAATCATCTAGTAATTCATACATTCTCTCAGTAAAATATCGTACAACAATATTTTTCTTTTGCATTTAAAAAGGCAATGAAAGAACAACAAAATTAAATGTGAACAATAAAATATCTTCATGACAGTTAACAACAGATAACAGACTTGCAACGTAATACGTTTGCGAAGCTGTTTTTCGACTTTATAATCTTTTGAAAAAACAGTGGCTCACCAGACTAGTATTTGTCGGCAGCCAAGACGGAGGTGTGAAACAGGTTTCAAAAGTTTTGGCACCATGATGTTATTAGTGTTTTCTCTATTAATAGCAGACACGATAGCCGATTCGCCGAAAGCAGGTTTTTTTTTTTCATATTATAATCTCCTCTCTCTATGATCTCCTCTTGAAATTGATTTTTCCATGATCTTCTGACTCTCGTGGAATTTTGGTGGACTCGTGGACGAGATTCTTGGAGATTTGTGGAATAAAGTACTCTATTCAATACCGTCTATCTATATACTCGTATTATTAACTAAATATTCGTATAACTTTATACTATAACATAAGGTTCGAAGCCAACATACTGAGTAATTACGCTCTAACTGGCCAATTTTGGTCTTTGTTTTAAGACGTCATCGCGTCGTGCTTATTTACCTATTTTCCTCATAGTAACTTACGCCCGTATTCACAAACGATGCTTGCTTAAGTAAAGTAGCAAATATATAATAGCAGTGTTGAATAGAGCTCTGTGATTGGTTTATGTGTCACCCTGTGCGTGACTATGTGTCACCAATCACATATAAGTCTCATAGTGCGCGTGGCACTATGAGACTTCATAGTTATATTTGTGAATACGGGCGTTACTTGTTTCAACAAAACAGTTCATAAATGATACCTACCATATCTGTTTACAGCAACCTGTCCTCTGGAATGCAAATCAACCTGCCTAAATCCTAACCCCAAGAGTTGCAGCAGCAGCTTCTACTCAGACTGCAACTGTAAAGAGGGGACAATCTGGTCATCAGATGGCAGCAAGTGCATTTCTATAAACGAATGTCCATGTAAGTTTTTATGTTATTTACTTTGCACACATTTAACTATGAAGATAATGCAAAAAGTTCTTAGAATAAATATCCTAGCTAGACTAATCACTTAAGGGTATTAACCCATCTATTAATTTATAATATCACAATCTTTATTTTTCAGTTACCCATATACATAGTTTTTGTTTCTCCGGCACTCATAAAAATGTACAAAATGCTCTACATTTCGATTCATAAAAGAAAATAGTCAAAACGGGACTATTCCCACCTTCCATTCCCACTACTAAAAGGTGAGAGAGAGGTGGGAATAGTCTCGCAGTACACAGGAGTATAGCCAGGACCTACAGCTTAACCGCCATTGTAAACCCAACCAAGGATCAAGTTGTCCCAAAAAGTTTGCAACCATTGGAAGTATAAACAAAGTTTTTACGACCTTCAGATGGCCCACCCTGCAATGGTGATCCCAACGCCTACGTTATGGAAAAACCACCCGCTTGCCCATCGACATGTGACAGCCCAAATGGTTCGCCTCATTGCAAGAGATTAAGATTGGATGTTGGTTGTGCCTGCAAGAATGGATACATCTTGAATAGTGAAGGAACCTGCATCGACCCAGACAAGTGCCCAGGTAATGATCTATCAATAAGAATGTCTTTAAGAATAAGAATGTCTTTATTTGNTCAAAGAATAGACCGGTTGTGAGGCGATTTTTGTTAATATTATCTAAATATATAAAAGGAGAAACTGACTGACTGACTGACAGATCAACGCACAGCCTAAACGGCTAAACGTAGGCACTTGAAATTTGGAAGGGACGTATCTTAGGTACCGTAGAGGTGCACTAAGAAAGGAATTTCCGGAATTCCCACGGGAACGGGAATTAGCGGGAAAAACGGGATTCACGCGTACGAAGTCGCGGGCGGCCGCTAGTCTATTATAGAATCCAAGAGTGAAAAAGAAGCTAATGTCGTAGATTTCTCTTTTTGGAAACCGAATTGATCATTTGTTATGATCTCAAATTTAGTACAAAAATCTAGAAGCCTTCTATACATGCACTTTTCAAATATTTTGGAAAATATCGTAATAAGTGTAATAGGACGATAATTGTTAACATCGTCTTTATGACCTTTTTTGTAAAGTGGCTTTACCACCGACACCTTAAGTGCTTCTGGGAAAATTCCTGATTTAAAAGATATATTTACCAGATGAGTCAAGATGTCTGCTAATTCATTCATACTGGATTTAATTATGTTTGTACTGATCCCGTCATATCCTTCTGAATTTGTATTTTTTAATGTCAGTATTTCTTTTTTAATGTCATAATGTGTCATTGGTTTAAGGAAAATTGAATTTGATATACCATGTCTCTTTTTAAATTGATGCTGCATATTAATTGGCAAAGGTTTATTGGATATGTCAATGAAATGGTCATTAAATACACTAGCTATGTCACTTGGGTTTTTAATAATAATGCCATTGGAATTTATTGAGGAAATGTCATTAAGGTTTTTGTTATCAATTTCGTTTTTTATAACCGTCCAAGTAGCTCTACACTTGTTGTCACTTTTATTTATATACTGTATGTTACATATTTTTTCGATCTATATATACATTTTTTTAAGATTTTAGAATATTTTAGTATAGTATAGTATAGAGTATAGACCTAATTTTCTGTCAGAACAAACAAGTTCCGAATTTATACAACAATTTGGGCTAGCGTAGTAAGTGTAAGACAAATAATATTCACTTTGTCTCTGATGAATTATGGAGACCTCCTGCAATGAAGACTTAATGATTTGATGATGATGATGAAATCAGATAAGGTTGTCCTCCTGCAGTGGAGACTGGAGATGATGATGATGATGATACTAACGATGTAATTAAACAACAAATCAAAAGTTCAACAAAATACAATTTTATGCTATGCTGGCTTAATATGGTTAATCTAAAATTTGAATAATTCACACCTAACGTAAATGTAGTCATTAAAGAATTTAATACTCACATTTCTAGGTGGCAATCCATGCGGCGTCAATGGGACATTTGTGCCATGCAGTATTAGTTGCCCTGACGAATTTTGCCCCGTGGACGATATTCGGGCTATGATTGCTTGTGATCCTCCCTACCCCTGCCCTTCTGGATGCGTCTGCAAATATAAGTATCAGTTTAGAAGCCAAGAGGACAGAACATGCATTTTGGCACAGGAATGTCGTAAGTTCATATCTACTTACATTTGCTTCTGCGATAAAAATATATGTTACTGGAATTTAGCATGAAGCTTTGTGTAATGTTCAGGATGACAACATCAAGGTAATGCCAATGCAGAAAAGTTGAAATGTTTAAGCTTTTCAGAAAATATTTAGCAAGTGCTCTTCAAGTAGGCATAAAACAATTTACTACTAGAATTTTCCTTCTTTGTGTATTCGTTGATGGTTACAAACATGTACAAAGTCACTAATTACTTCAAATACCTTTTACTGTAAATGATTAATCATTTACCTATTGTGCAAATGTCTAATCTAACAATTACCAAACATTTAACTTCTACGGTACCGACTCCATTTACCCAACTAAAACCTCTTTAATCTCAACACCAGCTCCAGTGAAATGCACCAGACCCAACGAGGAGTGGAATAGCTGCCCTTCACCTTGTTTCGACGAAAGCTGCAGCGCCTTCAACAGTCCACCTCCTGTATGCAACACCCTCGTAGAGCCAGAGTGCTATCCGCAGTGCACCTGCAAGCCTGGCTACGCCAGGGATGAAAACGACGTTTGCATTCCTGGGGAACAATGTCGTAAGTAGCATAAGTCTTGTATTAAGTACAGACACCGAAAATAGATTATCTTTGACCAGTAGGCGTATTCACGTAACAAAACTTCAACGACATGCAAGCGATTTGTCACTTTTCGTATTCACGTGTTAGTCACCCGATTTTGTTTCGATTTCGTTTTTATCCGTATTCAATTGTTGCCTCCGCGGTGTTCACCTATTGCCTATTTTGAAGTTTGTTTCAAGACAAATCGCTGAGTGGCAATCCTATTGAGTAATCGTTCTATCGAAATGACACGTGAATATTGATTATGACCGTTTTTCAATAGGACGACTTCTAAACATCAACGACATTTTGACTGTTTCAAAATACGTGAATTAGGCCACATCGCAATGAAAACAAATGTTTCTAGTTCTAGTGTTGATAGGTAATGTTTTTCAACGTCAAAATGATAAAAAATTCAACATTAAAGCATTTTATGTATTTAAAACCTGCAGTAATTAGGAGTCATAAAAAAAATTTAAACTAACACTTTCATCACATTATAATTCCATTTTTGTTTCAGCTCAAAACTGCGGCGGATCGTTACCCCAATGAAATTTAAAATTCCAATAAAAATTGTAAACGTTTTTATTTAAATTATTTTTTCCAGTTGATTCAATGATTACTGTATTAAACCGTGGATGTTAATTATTCATTAATGAATCATTTTGTTAATGAATGGCTTGGAAACAAACTATTTACTTTATCATAATGTCAATAAAACGATTAATCTAGATCTGTCTTTCCTTTTGTAATTAAATGTTTTGATCAAAATACACAAAAGTTATTCTCTTTAGTTGCCAGTGACCCAACATTGTGTAAAGACAGATATCGTATACCTACTCTTATTCTAATATTTATTGATATCAATAAAAATAAGATTTAGTCTTAAAATTTGTGTCTGTAAAACCTTCATAAAAATTACATTAATCTAACCAGTCCCTAGAGGGTTCCGAATTGGTTGTCACCTAAAATCTTTTACCATTTTCTTGGCTAACGTGCAAAATTCACAAAAGTCTAAGAAACAAATCTCTGGGACAGCTTGAAATATTGAAAGATAGAGTGGGTGTGAAAATGACAATGTTGCTATTCTGACCAAATTTTATTTTTGTTAACCTTATTTTAAGCATCTACTGCTTAAGCGTTGTTTTAGAATTATATTGTTTTTTTCCTACAGTCAACACCAGATCAGACCATATTTTTTTGTTGAAAAGAAGCACCAGCATAGCATAAGTTAAAGAATATGTTGGTTTACGCCTACTTTAATCTACACACAAACGCCATCTAGCGCTAAAACTTACGCAGAGGGGAGAATGGGATAAGAGGCTTTCCGAGCGAAATCCGATGGAAGTCGAAAGAATACGGAGGCAGACGGGGAAAATTGGAGACGAAGCTGTAAGGGGCTTCCATAAACGAGATATTTTTCAACAACATTTTTTGCCAATAACTTTAAGAGGTACATCGCAGATTTAAAATTATTCATAAATCGGTCAATCATCTTTCCATGTCTAATACTAAAACAATAACTGTTCAGTTATTGTTCTTTGTAAGATCTTACATAGAGTGTTCGGTCAATGGTAGGTAAGCTAGTTGTACCTACCTAAGACTCTGTATAATTCAAATAAGGGCAAAAGCAATGATTTAAACATTCTAACTCTGTCTACATCCTTGATGTAACTTAAAATATCGTACAAAAATACCTACTTTTCTTTTGCATTTAAAAAGGCAATGAAAGAACAACAAAATTAAATGTGAACAATAAAATCTCTTCATGACAGTTAACAAGAAGGCTTGCAACGTAATACATTTGCGAAGCTGTTTTTCGACTTTATATTCTTTTGAAAAAACAGTGGCTCACCAGACAAGTATTTGTCGGCAGCCAAGACGGAGGTGTGAAACAGGTTCCAAAAGTGTTGGCACCATGATATTACTAGTGTTTTCTCTATTAATAGCAGGCACGATAGCCGATTCACCGAAAGCAGGTATTTTTAATGTTTTTTTTTATTCTCTTGAAATTGACTTTTCCATGATCTTCTGACTCTCGTGGACTTTTTTGGTAGATTTGTGGATAAGATTCTTGGATATTCGTAGAATACTCTTTTCAATACCATCTTTATTACTTAAATATTCGTATGATTTTATACCTACTATAAGGCTCGAAGCCAACATACTGAGTAATTATTACGCTCCAACTGGTCAATTTTGTTCTTTGTTTTTGAGACGTCATCATCGCGTCAGTGCTTATTTACCTACTTATTTTCCTCATAGTAACTTACGCCCATATTCACAAACGATGCTTGCTTAAGTAAAGTAGCAAATCGAACGCACAGCGTTGAATAGAGCTCTGTGATTGGTTCATGTGTCACCCTATGCGTCTACGCGTATTATGAGACCACATAGTAATATTTGTGAATACGGGCGTTACTTGTTTCAACAAAACAGTTCATAAAATAATACCTACCATATCTGTTTACAGCAACCTGTCCTCTGGAATGCAAATCAACCTGCCTAAATCCTAACCCCAAGAATTGCAGCAGCAGCTTCTACTCAGACTGCAACTGTAAAGAGGGGACAATCTGGTCATCAGATGGCAGCAAGTGCATTTCTATAAACGAATGTCCATGTAAGTTTTTATGTTATTTACTTTGTACACATTTAACTATGAAAAAAATTAATAATAATCCTAGACTAATCACTTAAGGGAATCAATCCATCTATTAATCTATAATATCACAATCTTTATTTTTAAGTTGCCCATAATATACATATACACACATAGTTATGGTTTCTTCGGCACTTCTACAAATGTACTTATAATGCTCTACATTTCGATTCATAAAAGAAAATAGTCAAAACGGGACTATTCCCACCTTCCATTCCCACTACTAAAAGGTGAGAGAGAGAGGTGGGAATAGTCTCGCAGTACACAGGAGTTATAGCCAGGACCTACAGCTTAACCGCCATTGTAAACCCAACCAAGGATCAAGTTGGGTCAAGTTGTCCCAAAAAGTTAGCAACCATTGGTAGCTTAAACAAAGTTTTTACGACCTTCAGTTGGCCCACCCTGCAATGGTGATCCCAACGCCTACGTAATAGAAAAACCACCTGCTTGCCCATCGACATGTGACAACTCAAATGGTTCGCCTCATTGCAAGAGTTTAGAATTGGATGTTGGCTGTGCCTGCAAGAATGGATACATCTTGAATAGTGAAGGAACCTGCATCGACCCAGACCAGTGCCCAGGTAATGATCTATCAATGTTTTAGTATAGTATAGACCTGATTTTCTGTCAGAACAAACAAGTTCCGAATTTATACAACAATTTGGGCTAGCGTAGTAAGTGTAATATAAATAATATTCACTTTGTCTCTGATGAATTATGTAGACCTCCTGCAACGAAGACTTAATGATTTGATGATGGTGATGAAATCAGATAAGGTTATCCTCCTGCAGTGGAGACTGGAGATGACGATGATGATGATACTAACGATGTAATTAAATAACAAATCAAAAGTTCAACTAAATACAATTTTATGCTATGCTGGCTTAATATGGTTAATGTAAAATTCGAATAATACACACTTAAAGTAATTGTAGTCATTAAAGAATTTATTACTCACATTCTAGGTGGCAATCCATGCGGTGTCAATATGACATTTGTGTCATGCAGTCTTAGTTGCCCTGACGATTTTTGCGCCGTGAACGATATTCGGGCTATGATTGCTTGTGATCCTCCTTATCCCTGCCCTTCCGGATGCGTCTGCAAATACAAGTATCAGCTTAGAAGCCAAGAGAACAGAACGTGCATTTTGGCACAGGAATGTCGTAAGTTCATATTATCTACTTACATTTGCTTCTGTGATAAAAAGATACTGGAATTTAGCATGAACCTTTGTGTAATGTTCAGGATGACAACATCAAGGTAATGCCAATGCAGAAAAGTTGAAATGTTTAAGCTTTTCAGAAAATATTTAGCAAACTAAAGTGCTCTTCAAGTAGGCATAAAACAATTTACTACTAGAATTTTCCTTCTTTGTGTATTCGTTGATGGTTACAAACATGTACAAAGTCACTAATTACCTACTTCAAATACCTTTTACTGTAAATGATTAATCATTTACCTATTGTGCAAATGTCTAATCTAACAATTACCAAACATTTAACTTCTACGGTACCGACTCCATTTACCCAACTAAAACCTCTTTAATCTCAACACCAGCTCCAGTGAAATGCACCAGACCCAACGAGGAGTGGAATAGCTGCCCTTCACCTTGTTTCGACGAAAGCTGCAGCGCCTTCAACAGTCCACCTCCTGTATGCAACACCCTCGTAGAGCCAGAGTGCTATCCGCAGTGCACCTGCAAGCCTGGCTACGCCAGGGATGAAAACGACGTTTGCATTCCTGGGGAACAATGTCGTAAGTAGCATAAGTCTTGTATTAGGGTCAGACACAGAAAATAGATTATCTTTGACCAGGCGGCGTATTCACGTAACAAAACTTCAACGACATGCAAGCGATTTGTCACTTTTCGTATTCACGTGTTAGTCACCCGATTTTGTTTCGATTTCGTTTTTATCCGTATTCAATTGTTGCCTCCGCGGTGTTCACCTATTNCACTGCTGTGCGAGGCGGCAGCGCCCTAACTCGAGGCATCGCCGCGTCGCACACCCGCGACACGGCCCCCCGGAACCACTCGACCTCTCTGTCTGGCTCCACATCGCCCACATGCGGTGACCAGCTCTCCACCAACGACGCAACAATTAGTGTGTCCCTATCCAGGCGTTTCAACGCCCATCTCGGGCCGATCTCCTCCGGGGAACGGCTTGGGCTATTCGGGGCAGACTGAGAGGAGGCGAGCTCGAATCGTACGTAACGGTGATCCGATAATGTCTCTACCTCCTCCAGCACCTCCCAGCTCTGGACACGGCGCGCTAGGGCAGGGCTCGCGAAGGTGACATCCACGACCGAGCCACCCTGCATTCGCACGCACGTGTCGACCGTTCCCTGGTTCAAAACCACCAGACCATTAGCCATCAGCCAGTCCTCGACCAACTCGCCTCGCAAATCCGTCAGTCGGGAGCCCCATGTCAGCGACTTCGCGTTCAGGTCTCCAGCCACGATTACAGGGTGAGTATGTCCCCATCCGGTCAGCAATGTCCCCATTTCCGCCAAGAACGTCTCGAACTCAGCTATCGAGCGATTTGGAGAAAAGTAGGCTCCTACCACGACTACCTCGCCGACGAGAACAGCGACGCAGCCGCGGCCCCTCCGGATCTTATTAAATGGCGGGGAGTCCGCCGCTGAGTTGGTGATAACTACCACCTTGTCCTCGACGTCCCCAGCCCAGTTGTCCCGTTCGTGTACGTAGTACGGCTCTGCCACTACACATATCTGGGTCGACCACTGTGCCATGCTCTGTTGCAATAAGTCCTGAGCTCTGGCACAGTGGTTGACATTCGCCAGTAGAAATTTTGTGGCCATATTATTCGCCGGCCATCTGCGTCTCCTCAGGCCCCGTGGGGCTGGATGGCTTTGGCTGGCCCTTGGCACTTGCCGCCGCTCTCCTTCCTATCTTCGTCCCCGGGGCTTTGCAGGCCTTACTGCCCACGCGGTGCCCCGCGGGTTTATCGGCCAACGCACAAAGTGTACAGTGTGGCTCGTTTTCACACTTGGCCGCGACATGGCCTAGCTGCCCGCACCGGAAACATTGCCGGCTGCGGTCCACGTCCGCCGGGCATACCGCCT